AGTTGCCCTTAATTAGTTAAAGGCAATACCTTGTTTATGTTAAAAATATGGTGAAATTGAATATTAAATAAAATAGAAAGATGTTAGATTTTCAAGTAGTTTATCGAGTTGTATGTTAGGTYAAGTACGGTTAAATATTTTCAAAAACCYAGTACTACCCCTAATTTCAATGAMCAAAGACATTGCCTGATCAATAATTCTGATTASCATTCTATGAATATTGCGTAATAGGTGTTTGTACACTGGTAGTACTGCAAATAGAAGAGACAATGGGAAATGATRGAGGAGCATTTAACCCTCCAATGACAACAYGACACATCAAACTCACCTYGGACAAACTTTGGAGCCACCATGGCAACCCCTTTGGGGACACCTCACACGCTCCAAGGAGTATYGATGCCACCTTGGCAAGGTCAGGCCGRCAAACTAGTCGGTGCCAAGCTGGRGACCTCGACATAGGGAACGACTTGCTGCCRAGGTCCCATAGACCTGACTACRGCCTAGTCAGTGATCTGCATGATGTGGTGAATGGCCTCCCCCACACGTGGCTATCAATTAGTTCTCTAGGACCATATTCCTTAATTGACAGACTCGTCTCCCCACGTTGCACGCTTTGGAGTCGACCAAATGAGCCTTATCCCACCAAGTGGACTCCATTTCCAACTAAGAAATTGCCTCTAAGCGAGACAGACATATCTTACCGAGGATCTCAGGCAAACGGTGTGAAAACCATGGTAACCCACGCCTATATAAATGCGTCTCATTCACCATAAGAGGTACGCGTGATTTAGCTCTCAAAATTCTCTAGCTTTCACACACTCATTGCATAGTTAAGCATCAAAGTGCCTATACCAAGAGAGCATCTCGGACACTCTGAATCCTCTTTTCTTGTATTTTGTCCAAGCGATGTATTCAATCCAATGCTTGAGTTGTGTTCTAGCAGGAAGCACCAAATGCACATCATCAATTGGTGTTGTCTGTGGGAACCACAACTAAAAGCTAAGTTCTCACCATCTCCTTTGCAATCCTACCGATGGCATATTCAAGCAACACCAACAATAACAATGCTGACAATGTCCCGGTTGACAACACTACTCCAAGGGCCTGCACCAAGCATTGAGAACCCAATAGTTACGATCAGGAAAACTAGTATCCCCCTCACTATATTACCAGGTATCGTAGCCTCCTCAGAGCAGAACCTCCCTTTGCCCTCATTAACTGTACCTCTCCTGACGGTCGAGCACTCAATGGATCCTACCGAGATTGATGGCCGGCAATTTTATGAGTTGATGCAGTATATCCGTAGTATGAATCTACGGATGCAGACATGGGAAGGTTGTTGGGCACCAATGGTCACGATGCCCCAATAAGTCGGGCCCGAAATCATTTACAAGCACCTTACCAATAGGAACAGCAACAACAACACTAGTAGTAGTAGCATCAGCAACAGTTTGTGAGCCATCTCCCTGCTCTAGCGATGAATGTGAATTTGAACCAGCTCCCCTGTGACTTGAACCAGGACCAAAACTAGGTTCCAGACCTTATTCACAACCAAAACCAGATCCAAGGAAGTGGCCAGCAGCGTATGCATAACCTAGAAGCTCAGGATCCCTCCATAGCATCTGAGGGAATAAGCCGAGCTAGCTCCACCACTAACCCTGCCAACATCGATACAACAGAGGGGTCCCAAAGGAGACATTGTAGTTGCTCCCGAAGAGACCCGAGAAGAACCTATTTCACCCTAAATGAGGGTGTGGATGTGAAGAAGGAGGAGGTGGTTGCCACTTCCTCTGCGCTGATCGTCACGCAAGTATTGCCATTAGTGGCCAAGATTCCTTGCGGCACCCCGCCCTAAGGATGTCAACGCCCCCAGCTCAAGTCCTATGATAGTACCACTAACCCAATCAACCATGTTAATAGGTTTCAAGCCTTGATGCAGCTTCACGAGGCAACAGATGTGAGCCTATGCATGGAATTTCCAACCACTTTCAGAGGCACAACTTGGTTTTGGTACTCAGGGTTGGCCTTAGGATTAATCAAGATGTGGAACTAATTCGCTGACCTGTTCACAACACATTTTGCGACAAGTAAATGATGCCCAAAGTAGGCGACCTGCCTCTTGAATGTGGTCCAGTGAGATGATGGAGCACTCGGGGACTACATAAAGAGGTTCAGTCTAGAGCAGCTTCAAATACCAAACCTTGATCTCGTCGTCCAGCTCATTGTGGCAGTCAGTGGCATCTGATATCGAAAATTGTGTTGGGAGGTCAAGTTGAACCCTTCAACTTCTATGGAGCAATTTCTTGACTAGGTAGCCAAGTTTATGAAGGCTGAAGAAATGGTCAGATTCCATGCCGAGTTGGGCAAAAAAAGTGATCAAAGGACAATCGGAATAGTAGTAAGAAAAGGAAGAGGAACAGGTCATCGCAAAGATGCAGCATGTCATCGCGTAGATGTAGCAGGTCCCCCTGTTGCCGAAGTAGGTCTCCTCGGCACAGTAATAGGTTGTCGGGCCGATGTCCCCAAACTCTGCTCGTCCAGAATAGGAACTACACTCCTTTGAATGCAAAAAGAGGGGAAATATTGATGAAGATCAAATCGGCAAAATACATGAAGTGGCCACCTCGTATGAAAGGAGATCCTATCAACCACAATAGAGAGAGATACCGCCACTTCCACTGGGACATCAGGCATGATACAAAGAACTACCATAACCTCAAGGACGAGATYGAGGAGCTGATCATGAGAGGTTACTTGAAGAAATTAATTAAGAGGGAGGACGACCTTGACAGAATGTAGACGTGATACAAATCATCCAGAAATGTAACAAGTGTACTACTATGGCGTACACAAGGGTACTACTGGACTATGAAGGCAGACATGATTCAAATCATCTAGAAATGTAACATGTGCCAATGGCACGCCAACGTACTACACCAGCCTGCTACCGACCTGATATAGTTGACCAACCTGCGGCCATTTGCACAATGGGGGATTGAAATAATCAAACCCTTTCCACCAGCAACTGGGCAAAGAAGGTTCCTGGTCGTCGCAGTGGATTATTTCACTAAGTATGTGGAAATAGAGCTGCTAGTGTGCATCACAACCTAGAACGTGTARAATTTCTATTGGAGGAACATAGTTTGCCGCTTTGGACTCCCGTGCGTGCTAATCTCTAACGATGAAAAATAGTTCAAGGACATCAATTTCTAGAACTAGTGCACAAAGATGGGGATCCAACAGAATTTCACCATAGTAGTTCACCCACAAGCAAATAACAGTGCCAAAGTGACCAATAGGTCGATCTTGAGAGGACTAGAAGTTCGGTTCTCCCAATCTATAGGGTTGTAGGTAGACGAGCTGCCCAATGTTTTATGGGCTTACCGCATGACCATCAAGATAGCAATCGGCAAGACTCCATTCAACCTCATGTTCGGGACCGAGGTCATCATCCCCACTGAGATTGTGTTGACCTTGCGATCAAAGGCAAACGAAGAAGATGCTAATGATGACGAACTGCGAACCAATGTAAACATAGTGAAAACGGTTCGTGACCTAACCTATATCCGAACTGCAGCATACCAACAATGTGTAGCTCGGTACAATAAGGCCTGAGTTAAGAGACACTAATTTCGAGTTGGAAACTTGGTACTCAGGAAGGTTATGGTACTTGAGCTCAGTGTTGGAAAGCTAGGTCCTAACTAGGAAGGACTCTATCGAGTATGTAAAGTCCTTGTCAAAGGAACATACAAGCTCAAAACCCTCGAAGTGAGGTAGGTCCCCCACACATGGAACAGTGAGAACCTAAGAAGATACTGCATATGAAGTTTCGACTCACGTATGCCGACTACCTCGCCTAAGTGTAGTATGTAGGTTAGCCTTAATCTAGGTAGTTCAGCTAACTTGTAACTTAGCCAAAAAATAAGAAGGTCGGTTCGCTTTGGCACCTTTACCTGTATCGGAAGTTCGGCTAATTTACAACTTAGCCAAAAAAATATGGAAAGGCCATTACGCTTTTAGCAGATTGATCAATTTGTTTCTCAAGAGACCAACTCTCTCTTAGCACTTGGGTCTCCAAGGAGCTCAACATCATTTTGGCTTAGCACCTCCATCCATCTCAGCATCGTCTTCACTTGGCAGAAAGTAATTGATTGGTTCACTCTTAGCACCTCGACCAATATATATACCTTGGTCTATATATTCCTTGGTACCCCCACTAATGTTTTTAACTTTGCCATTTTTCAAGATGTAAAGATAAAAGTGTAGAAGACAATGTGATTGAAGAAAGGAAGTTTTATTGAAGCTAAGGATCTTCGCTTACATTGTTAAAAAAAAGGCCAAGCTCAGAATACATAAACTGTCTAAGAAAAGTATAGGATGGGCAGAACCAACGGGTTACTCATCTCCCTTCTTGCCATTGTCGTTACCACCAACTTCTTCCCTAACTTCTTCGCCAACCTCTTTGTCATCCCCAACCATCTTGTCAGAAGTATCCAGCTCTGCATCGACAGTGTCCCCGATGCTATTGGGAACCAACTTGATTGAGATGTGGCAGTGACACAACCTGAACCATTTCTTGAGAGAAGGCACAGCGGCGATAGTTTTCTAGTGTTCAAACTCCAGCGAAACATGGTATGCCTCCACCATGGCCTCCCCGATTCGTTGAATGTCCACAACCTACTTAGTATGTCGCTCCTCTAGTTGACAGTCCCGTTCTTGAATCTGGTGGTCTCGTGCCTCCACCTCACTGGTCAGGATAGCTACCCTTCCCCGAGTTTCCTCTAGTTGGCGATGATCCTCCTAGGCACTAAGCCAAACATTCTCCAACTGGGCTTGGAGGAGCTCAACTGGGCTTGGCTGAAAGAGTTGATCTGCGAGCAAGAGACAAAATAGTTAGGGTGAGTCAAAAAGGAAAAGTCTTTGGAGTAATCGCAATACTAACCTGCATGACGTTAAAAATGATCCAGGGACCTAGCTAGGCTAGTTTGAGCTCTCCATAGGCCCAAACATCTTCGGGAAAAAGAATGCTTTTCCCTATCTGAATGGCGAGTATGGGATCCTAGACTTAGTCGGTGACCAAGACATTGGTGGCACAAGGAATGAACTGTGCGACCTCAGATCTGGAGACCATAGTTGTGACCTTAGGAGCAGTAACGGAGGGCTCATGCGAGGTTTGCTCAAGAATGACATGGGCGAGATTGGCATGTATGGTATTCCTGCCCTCTTCCAGGTCGATCACGATGTGCTTGGCCGACTCCTTATGGGCGGTGAGCCGGCAACCTCTCTTGCTCTTCTCTACCTCTTGTTTGTCTCGGTTGTCTTAGTCGTGACAAAGATGTTGGAAGTGCTAGACATTTCTACACAAGGAACAAAGAGTTAGGAAAATAGAAAATGATAATATAGCTCATGACATAAAAAATTCATCAGGGACAACCTACCAACAAGATTCAAACCAGCCTTAATCAGTCATAGCTCAGCAAAGAACCCCTCGACCAAAGATCGCTATGCTACGAGGAATATAACCTTGTCCGCTAGCTCACCATCGAACATAGCATCAATAACCTTCCTCATTTTAGGTCGTCAAGTGGTATCGACCAGCCAACCATCCTCCTAGGACAAGAAAAAGTGCATATGCTTCCAGTTCCTCACTTTTGAAGGGAAGTCATGTAAGAGCTTATACCTAGGTCAATAACTCAAGTAAAAGTAGTAGGGTACCTTGGGCATCTTCTTTATATGTACAACCCCACAAAATAATTGATGTCTAGATTTATTTCAAGGTAGTAATAGAGAGAGATTGTCTCCACAATGGTTGAGCACCTCGCAGAAGAAAGAATAAAGTAGGAAACGAAGCCCGGTGATCAATACCTCCTCGAAAACACACACTTCATTTCACATGTGGTTCCAAGGGTACTGACCCTCGTCGGGAAAAATGCAGTCGTAGGTTAAAGGGATGTTGAAGGTCATCATCAACCCTACTACCTCCTCGTCAGTCAGCATGCTAGGAATGAACCACTAATTGGGTCATTGAGAGGTTAAAGTTTCTTCCTAAGGCCTTTGTCACTCTTGAGCCGAGGTTCCTACCTCGTCTCGAGCGGACTCATAGGACTTCCCCCTGACCCTTCTGAAGACACTTTCAAAAGAAAATTTACTCACCGAATAAGGAGCAGATGAAGAAGATGGAAATAGAAAATCTTACAACGAACAAGACAAGCGACCTAGCTCGCACCTCAAAGAGTTCTCCTACGCTTAAATAGTCGTCTCACAAAGCACAGTGCAAATGGGACCCCCAAGGGTTGCCCCCTATATTTAAAAAAGGGGCCCAACCTTCGACAACTACGATGGTTTTGGTCAAACGGCCCAGGGATTGTCCCACTCAAAAGCAAGGTGGGCGATTTGAATTTGAGTCAAGCATGCCCAAGTCAAAATTTAAACTTGCTGCGTGTGGACTTTCCTAATCTAATACCCTTGTTCAAATTTTCAATCTACCACCTACAGACCACACCCCATTTGGAAATATGAATCCCACCTCACCATGCGAATGCCAATGTGTAGAGCTACTCTAGAAGGACGAACTAGACTTACCTAGTCACTTCGGGCCAAAAACCTGTAACAAGCTACTCTCTTTCCCTGATTGACCCTAGCTCGGGAGTGAGGGGCAATTGATGGGGAGGATTTGACCCTTCAGTGACACTTCCTGATCGTCACCTGCAACCTTGGAGCAATTAAGATCAATACCTAGAGGTTAAATTTACCTTGGGCGGACTTTAGAGATACACATTGGCACCCCTCGGGGGGCACCTCGCACATTCTAAGGAGTCTTGATGCCACCTCGGCAAGGTCAAGCCAAAGAATTGGTCGGGGTCAATCTAGAGACCTCGGCATAGGGAGAGACCTGCTACCAAGGTTCCATAGACCTGATCACAGCCCAATCGGTGATCTGCATGGTGTGGCGAACGACTTCCCCCATGCGCGGTTGTCTCCTAGTTCTCCGAGATCACGTTCTTTAATCAAAGAACTTGTATCTCCGTGCTGCACACTTCGGGGTCGACCGGGTGAGCCTTATCCCTACATGCGAACTCCATTTCCGACTAAGAAATTGGCTCCGAGCAAGGTAGACACGTCTTATTGGGAATCTCGGGTAAATAGCGTGAAGCCCATGGTAACCAATGCCTATATAGATGCATCTCATTACCATAAGAGGTACGTGTGATTTAGCTCCTAGAATTCTCTAGCTCTCACTTTCTATTTCTCACAAATTCATCGCTGACTTAAACACCAAAGTGTCCATGCCGGAAAAGCATCATGGACACTTTGATTTCTCTTTCTTGCAGTTTGGCCAAGCGATTCCAATAGGGAACATCAGAAGTAATTGACCTTCAACAAGAAGGCAAGCAATATAAATAATCAGGTACTTGATCCTTTCTACTGGAGCTTAAAATCGCTCATTTGAGTTAGCTTAAAATCTCACTTTCGACTAAAGAAATGGAAGGAAGAGGTAATAACGTTACCTCTATAGGGTCTCATTTAATGTGGAGAAACGTATGAGACTTGATGGAAATGTTGCTAGAACAATGCAAGCTATATATTTTTTACATCCTGGAACTTTGCTTTTGAGCTCGACAATGGAAGATGCTCATGACCAGATTGCTTAATTTTCTGTCAAGTGTAGAGGTCAATTTAAACAGGTGGTGATCACAATTGTCTAGAAGGCAATGCAATATATTGACAAGGCTCCTAATATTGAAACTTGCGATCGAAGAACTCATCAAAACACTGATTAAATAGCTTTTCTGTGTTTAGGAGATTCCCACTACTCCATATGTTGGGAAGATATACATAGAAATAGAGAGAAAGCATAAGTGAACAAGAAGCTTTCAGAAATTAAGGAAGAACATGGACTTATTAGTGAGGCTGCTAATTCAGTAATTTGATGCAAGAAATTTCTATGGAAGCATTCTGAACAATGGAAGAAACAGAGAAGATAACATATACTTGAGCAAGTCTCTGTGTTTTTTTTTTTTTTTGATAGAACCGGAAAGGGGCTACACAAAATGTGGGCACGTCCCAAAAATCAAAACAAGCAATTACACTTAGAGGCCTAGGAATGGAGCAGATAGATGCTTCGTTGGTGTGTGAATAGTTTGCTAGCTAGTCTGCAGAAATATTTCCTTCTCTATAGATGTAATGATACTCAATCATTCCCTCTAATCTCTCCCTTAAAGTTATGCATTCTTTAATAATTGGATGCACTCTCCACGAGGAAGGGGGGCTGGAAATCCTTTTCAAACTATCAATAACTAGTTTTGAATCTCCTTCGATGATGATGTATTTGTTAGGAAAGTTTAGACCAAGTTGTGGACCTCCCACGCAGTCCACGCTTCAGCTACATTAATTGTAGTTTTGCCTAACTTGTAAGGCTTGAAATCCAAAATATGACCCAGGTGATCCCTGGCAAAACAAGTAACTGATCAATCCTCATTGATACACGAGTCATCAAAATTAATTTTAATAGCCTCAAAATCAGGACTATACCATATAACAGGAATAACTTCCTTCTTTCTCAAACCACTTTGATCTCCACAATTCACCACTTGCGCCTTGGATATTCAAAAATGTATTATAAGCTCTTTCAATGAAGCCAAAAAAAAAAAAAAAAAACTAAGGAAAGAAAGGGATCATATAAAACAGTACTGAATAATATCTTATATAGTTAGACAAAAAGGAAAGAAAAAAACACTATTTTGAGGTGTCGTGAGAGAGGGAAGATCCATGCAATGGCATATTAGACCTTTTAACTGCTCCATCATGTATAACAACTAATGAAACTTAAAATGGTTGGGCTTAGTCCATTTTAAAAATAGAGGGGAGGTGTTAGTATTTAGCGTGAATATCAGGGGAGGTTTAAGTCTTTTACCCTATTAAAAAATAATTACCATAATAATTAATTAGTGGCAATACTTTATTTGTATGGAAAATCTGGTGAGGGTGAACATCAAAGAAAATAGAAAGATGTTTGATTACCCAGAAATGACCTTAATATATTAGTGGCAATACCTTGTTCATGCTGAAAATTTAGTGAGGGTAAACTTCAAAGAAAGTAGAAAGATGTTGAACCTTTCAACACCATGTTCCCTACTGTCAGTTGTTTTTCGAATATCATATCTTTTCCATATCATACTCAAACCCTGTATATATATAGGTCATTTCTCTATAAACTATTTGAAAATCTAACGTCTTACCTTTTTCTTTGATGTTCACCCTCACCAAATTTTCAGCACAAACAACGTATTGCATCTAATAATTAATTAAGGGCATCGTTTTTCCATAAACTACTTGAAAATTCAATATCTTTCTACTTTCTTTGATGTTTACCCTCACTAGGTTTTCAACACACACCTTGTTAGTGTTGAAAACCTGGTGAGGGTAAACATCAAAGAAAGTAGCTAGAAGGATGTTAAATTTTCAAGGAGTTTATCGAA